GTTGAAGTGGGTTTTGAAGGAGATGGGTTTTGAAGGTTGATTCTGCAGATTAAACCTCAAAAAGGAGATGGGTTTTGAAGTGGAAGGGGATGGTAAATTTGGAGTCTTTATTGGCGGTGGTGCCGGATATGGTTTTGATGTTGCCGGGGCTAGAGGTGGTGCCGGCGACGCTACGATTTTGAGAAGATGGCAGGATGATTTTTGGTTTGGATGTGTAGGTGGGTGGGGGTAGGATAGGGTAGCGTAGGGTGAAGATGGAGATGAATATTATTCTTTTTTTATTATTTTGGTTTAGTTATATTTTAATAGTTTTATGGAATTAAATTGTCAAGTTACAATTATGCCCCTTCTAGTTTGATAAAAATTGGTCAAAGTTTACTATTCTGGGTCAACTAACGGTCAAACGGACGGAAACCGTCCATTTGGACCTCCAGTGCATATTTTTGAAAAGTTTGGGACCTCCGTTGGCACAAATCAAAGGTTAGGGTAAAATGCGCAAAAAATTGAAAGGTTTGGGACCTTTGCTGCAATTATCCCTTTTTCTTATGATTTAATAGCACAAAACATCCCTACGTTTGACACTTATTGTGAAAAACGTCCCTATATTTCTTTTTTTACATTTTCATCCGTATTTCAACGTTTCAGTACGAAAAACGTCATTTTCACAATTTTTAACGTAAAATGACCAATATACCTTTCTATTTAAAAAATAAAAATAAAGCACAAATTGCAATCTTACTCCTAAACTTTTTAAAAAGTGCAAATGAGTCCAAATAAATTATTAAAATATTAAAAGGATAAATTTGTAATTTTACATTTTTCACATTTTTCCTTTAAAATAAAATAAAATTCACCCGACCCGACCCTACCCCAACCCAACGGCAAATCAAATCGAAATGAGAAATCTTTAGCCAACCGTCGGCCACGCCGAAATTATCCCCACCGCTGGAATCATCAGCCACCTCTGACCACCCATCTTCATCTTCTTCCCTGCAAAGAACCCTCAACCAAAAACTGAAAATCCGATTTGGGAAGCGGGGAGTTCTAGGTGGAGGAAGCTAGGAGTTCCAGGTCATAAGGAGGCGATGCGTGTGCTATTTCATTATCCATGTTTTGGTTTGGTTAGAACTGAACCTCACTTCCCTTTTTCCCTTTTATTTCAAATTTATGAAATTTGGATCTCCTTTGCATATTTTTGAAAGGTTTGGGACCTCCGTTGACACAAAACAAAGGTTAAGGTAAAGTTTGTAAACATCTGAAAAGCCTGAGACCGTTGCTGCAATTTTTTTGCTATTTCATTATCCATGTTTTGGTTTGGTTAGAACTGAACCTCACTTCCCTTTTTCCCTTTTATTTCAAATTTATGAAATTTGGATCTCCTGTACATATTTTTGAAAGGTTTGGGACCTCCGTTGGCACAAAACAAAGGTTAAGGTAAAGTTTGTAAAAATCTGAAAGGTTTGAGACCGCTACTGCAATTTTTTTCATTTAAATTTGAGGGAATATTGGTTATTTTACATTGAAAAATGGTGAAAATGATATTTTTCACAATGAAACGATGAAATAAGGACGAAAATGCAAAAAAAAAAAAGAAACGTAAGGACGTTTTCCACAAAAAGTATCAAACGGATGGATGTTTTGTGCTATTAAGCCTTTGTCTTATTCCTTGGCTTCAAATACTACATTTCCAACTTTTTCTTACATTTTTACTAGGGCCATGCTTCACTTCCAAGGGTCATGCTACATGTATACAATAGTTAATTTACATCTATGTGAGTTTGACAAATTTCAGAACATTGAGTGTAGCATTTGTTTAACTTTTCAAAAATTACAATGGCGCTCATCAACGTTTGGTAAACTAAGTACGCGAGTCTATAATGATTTTCTTTTTCCTTCATGGCAAGAAATCACACATGATATTACAAGTGATAGCACATTCAAAAATGACATCTTATTATTTTCTATTTTGAGTTGATGCAATGAGATGTTAAAATTTAAGTGGAGAACAACACATTTCAACTCAGGTAAGAGCAGCAAGAATTGTGAACACTATTATGGACATTGTTATTTGAGGACTATTTGGATTAAAGGAGTTTAATGTCTAAGAAAATGATTCGAAATAAAAGTGCAAAAGAATTTCAAATAAAATGTCGCAATGGAATTTACCCTAAGATCACTGGCGGAGCTGGGGCGGCCCCAAAAAAATTTTTTGACAATTTTTTTATTATTATTTTTTGTTCTTTTTGTATTTACCATTATCATTTTGTCCTCAAATTGAATAAAAATCTTAAACCCTACCAATTTCATTTTTCATTTCCGTCTTCAAAGTATGAGAATTCGAAAGGAACACTTGTAATTAGGTATGATTTTGCTAAATTAAATATTGGTACTTTCTTTTATATTTTTTTTGTTAATAAGATATTCAAAAAAAAAAATTCGTGGGCGCTGCCCCTGAACCCCCATGGCTTCTCACCCCTTCATCTCTATATTTTCAATTCTGGGATCCCTCTACTTCAAACGGCTGGCTCCGCCCATTCTTAAGATTATGATGTTTACTTAACGAAGAATGCTGATGAATTGCTCCACGATCAATAATTTGCCATATAGGTAGGAGAGTTGGTTTTCTTTTTTCTTTTCTTCTACTCTTTCTTTTGTTTTTCGTTTTTAGCTTCTTTCTCATTGGAGAGAATGAGATGGTGGCAAAATATCCCTTTAAAATAATATTTGGAAGGCATTTGAAACTTCTGATAAGAAATTGAAGGTTTCAATCCAATAAGAATTCTTGCGTAGCAAAGTTTTAACTTCTTTAACTTATGAAATACAACATCAACTCAAAACTCGACACATTATAATGAGATATGTAATTATATTATCTAACTTCAATTATATTTTCAAAGCTTAGCCAAACACGCACCTAAAATATTAATAACTTGTCCGTAATCCCGGTTTGTTCATTTTTGAAATTAAGATGTCAATTTTTCTATTATCAAATTTGAAAGTGTGCCCAAGTTGTTACAAATTCTTTAATAAGGTAATTTTGTGTAATGTTTTATATAAATTTTGAATTGTTCGACTTATTACTGTACATTACGCCCTTGTTTGAGCTCTATTATTCCAGAAATTCATTTTTTAAAATTCATTTTTAATCACACATTTTTTAATAAAATAATTTTATATATAAATCAAAATTTTTTAACCACACATTCTATAAAAAAATAATTATTCCAAAATACATTTTTCCTAAAATTAGACTCAAACACAGGCTACATAGGTATGATAACCATCACATAATTATTATTTTAAAAAATAATCGCGTTGTATAAAAATTAGAGATAATATTAAAGACACTCCTCATACTTTTGACAATATTAGATACATCCCTCATGTTGAAAAAATATCTCATATTTTTAAAATTTAAATATTACATACACCTCAACCACTTTTTGAGTTATATATAATCTAAAATTGATATACCTACAATGTCTTTGTGAAGGAAAAAAAAAATACTTTAATAATTAATTAATACTTGAAGACTTTACACAGACATTTCTAAATATGCATGCTACTTAACAACTCGTCCGTAATCCACTTTGTTCATTTTTGAAATTAAGAGGTCAAACTGTCAATTATTAAATTTGAAAACGTCCCCAAGGCCTAAAACTTCATTTATTTATAATTACAAGTTTTTACAAATTCTTTAATAAGTAGAAGGTATTATCTTTTAACATATTAATTTATCGAAAGAATATAAATTATCGTAGTAAGTTAAATAATACCCTGCGACAATTCTAGGTATACATGTGATAATTAGTGCATATTATGTACTTATTCGTGCTTCTAAACTTGCTTATTAATTGGTATATTGAACGAAACTCTGCCTAATTTAGTGTAATATAATTAATTGTAGGTAATATTCCAACTTGAATGCAATTGACGTGAAAAGGGCATTTTGGAGCTCGATTAGAGTTGATTCAAAGCAAATTGAATATTAAGTCCATATTTGACAATTATTATTTTAAAATATTTTATTCTACAAACTCATTTTCAACCACAAATTCGTACAATAAAATATTCTGCACATGAACCTAAAACTTTCTCACCTTTTAACCACACATTTTTTAAAAAATTCACTATTCAAAACTTTGTTTTTGTCAAATACTGGCTATCAATCAAAGGCTACGTGGAATGCCTACGGATAATTAGAAGAAATAATAGAGCATTCGGAAGATATTCATAAGTTTTGGGAGTTGATCTGAACATTTAAAAAGTTTGAGGACTAAATTTTAAACTTTCAAAACTTGCATCAGAATGACTTCAAACGACTGAGGAACGTGGAGGATGGGTATAGCATTTGTTTAACTTTTCAAAAATTACGATGGCGCTCCTCAACGTTTGGTAAACTAAGTACGCGAGTCTATAATGATTTTCTTTTTCCTTCATGGCAAGAAATCACACATGATATTACAAGTGATAGCACATTCAAAAATGATATCTTATTATTTGCTATTTTGAGTTGATGCAATGAGATGTTAAAATTTAAGTGGAGAACAACACATTTCAACTCAGTTAAGAGCAGCAAGACTTGTGAACAATATTATGGACATTGTTATTTTGAGGACTATTTGGCTTAAAATTTAAACGTGAAGGAGTTAATGTCTAAGAAAATGATTCGAAATAAAAGTGCAAAAGAATTTCAAATAAAATGTCGCAATGCAATTTACCCTAAGATTATGATGTTTACTTAACAAAGAATGCTAACGAATTGCTCCACAATCAATAATTTGCCATATAAGTAGGAGAGGTTGAGTTTTCTTATTTCTTTTCTTCTACTCTTTCTTTTGTTTTTAGTTTTTAGCTTCGTTCTCATTGGAGAGAATGAGTGGTGGTAAAATATCGCTTAAAAATAATATTTGGAAGGCATTTGAAACTTTTGATGAGAAATTGAAGGTTTCGATCCACTAAGAATTCTTGCGTAGCAAAGTTGAACTGTTGAAGAATTTAAGCCCATATTTGATTTAGATTAAAATAAAATTAAAATTTAAAGTCAAAGTCAACAATTAATTTCAAACATATATTTTATGGGATCTATAACTTTTAATCATGTATTTTATCAACTTTTATTAAAAAATATTAAAAATTGATTTTAATCTACACCAAATGAGGGTTAAATATTAAGAAAAAATTGATCAGGCACAAAAGTGCTCAACTTTCAAAGGTTGGGGACAGTTATTGGAAAATTTCCATTAAGTACATATATTTTTCAACTTAGCATTAATTTCTCATTTATCATCCCAGAATATTCTTTTTTTTTTCCTCAAAAAATTCAAAGTTCTATTGTCCTATTCAATAATAGGTATAATTAATTAATTAAAGATTTGCATTAGGTGCAATATAAGGGGGAATTTTTTTTAGCAAAATTGGTAAAAATAAAACTAAATTTCACAATTAATACCAATACCATCCACCTTACCAAACTAGTAAACATATTACAATAGGATACCTAACTTCTTTAACTTCTGAAATATAACTTCAACTCAAAACTCGACACGTTATAATGAGATACGTAATTATATTATCTAACTTTAATAATACAGTTGCAACTCAAATTTCGTACTTGAAAGTAACATACACGATTCTGTAATCTTAAAAAATATTGAAACTTCAAACAGAACGATAAAGCACATAATTTATTTATAATTATTTGTATAAATTTCATCTGAAACTCCGAACGATAATTCAAGTAATTTTCATAATTTCAATTGGAAACTCCACTATTTATCATTAATTACGATAATTCATATGTGATAGGGTGGTGGCCCGAATCATCGCTATTTATCATTAATTACGGTGGTTCGTTGAAAAAAGCTCGCTTGAAAGTAACCATAATTTAATTATTTTCCACGAGAATATAAACCCCTAGGTTTGACGACAATTTTGAAGTATTGTATTGGTACGATGAAATATAGCACAGGTTTTTGGAATTTTGGTACACAATCTAGACCATGTTTGGTTAAGGTTAAAAAATTAATTTGATTTCTGCATAAAGTTTTTATATCGAAACACATGCTGATAACTTAACTTTTTCTATTTGAAAATTGCTTATTTTTTTATAGTAAAATGTAATATACGAGTTATTTCCAAAATAAATACTTTATAGATTTTTAATTTAACCAATTAAAATTTATTTATCTTAAAAACTTATTTATTTCATAAGAAATTTTTCAAAGCTGCCAAACACGCACCTAAAGTATTAATAACTTGTCCGTAATCCCGGTTTGTTCATTTTTGAAATTAAGATGTCAATTTGTCTATTATCAAATTTGAAAGAGTCCCCAAGGTCTAAACTTAATTTATAACTACAAGTTGTTACAAATTCTTTAATAAGGTAATTTTGTGTAATGTTTTATATAAATTTTGAATTGTTCAACTTATTGCCGTAACCTTGAGGAGTTGCTCAATTGGTCAGATCTTGTGTTTGCTCCTCAATGGTCACCAGTTCGTGTTCCTCCATGGCCATTGAGATGAGTACCAAATTGTAAACTTTAGGGTCCCGTGGGATTAGTCGAAGTACGCACAAACTAGCACGGATATCCGCGGTTATAAAAAAAAAAACTTATTGCTGTACATTACTCCCTTGTTTGAGCCCCATTATTCCAAAAATTCATTTTCAATTGCATATTTTTTAATAAAATAATTTTAAATATAAATCGATTTTTTTAATCACACATTCTCCGAAAAATCATCATTCCAAAATATATTTTTTTCCAAAATTAGACTCAAACACGGGCTACATAAGTACGATAACCATCACATAATTATTATTTTAAAAAATAATCGCGTTGTATAAAAATTAGAGACAACATTAAAGACACTCCTCATATTTTTGACAATATTAGATACATCCCTTGCGATGAAAAAATATCTATAATATCTCATATTTTTAAAATTTAAATATTTCATACACCTCGACCACCTTTTGATTTATATATAATCTATAATTGATATACCTACAATGTCTTTGTGAAGGGAAAAAACACAATATTTTTTTAAAATATTAACAACTCGTCCGTAATCCACTTTGTTCATTTTTGAAATTAAGATGTCAAACTGTCAATTATTAAATTTGAAACAGTCCCCATGGCCTAAAACTGCATTTATTTATAATTACAAGTTGTTACAAATTCTTTAATAAGTAGAAGTTTTTATATAAATTTTGTACATCAGTATTATTTTTTAACATATTAATTATGTGATGGTTATCGAAACAATATAAATTATCATAGTAAGTTAACTTCCCGAAGCGAAACCCTTTTAATAATAGTTGAAATTTCCTCTATATCTATAGGGATTCGCACCTTGTGGTATCAACATTTAACTCATTTATTTAAACTCTCATACATTATCTGTTTTCTTGAAGAAGAAATTGCTTGTAGGCTTTGAGGGAGATCGAAGGAAGCCCTTTGTAAATCCAAGCCACATTTAAAATGGTAAGGGTAGTTTACCTCCAGGCGAGTAGGCCACAATAACATGACGATACCATTCCTAGTGGAATTAGAAATGGGAAAGAAGTTCCTTCCTCCCCGTCCTAGGGCATTAAGCCTGGGCCTGCCCAGTGCCAGAAGGTCAAGGAAGTTAGTGCCTGATGACAGGGGAGTCGGCGACAGAAGCCCCAGTGAACGACGCCCGTAACTATAACGGTCCTACGGTAGCGAAATTCCTTGTAGGGTAAGTTTCGACCTGCACGAAAGGTGTAACGATCTGTGCACTGTCTTTGAGAGTATGTACATGTTCCTGCGGCTTGGATGAGTATTCTTGTTTATATCGCCACGACTATAAACACTTTGTTGTTCCTGTTAATAAAACATCCCCTTTTTCTTTGCTCTTTCGGAACCGGTACAGAAATGGGTGCTTTTTCTACGTTGTTTACCTTAGTTACTGGGGGGTTTCCGTGAAGACCTATGTGAGGCACCTTTAGGGTGTGGGATGCTCGTTTAACCTCTGTATTCATCTCGTTCCTTATTTACCTGGGTGCACTGTGTTTTCAAAAGCTTTCTGTCGAACCGGCTCCTATTTCAATCCGTGCTGGACCGATCGATATACCAATAATCAAGTCTTCAGTCAACTGGTGGAATACGTCGCATCAACCTGGGAGCATTAGCCGCTCTGGTACATCAATACATGTTCCTATGCCCATTCCAATCTTGTCTAACTTTGCTAACTCCCCCTTATCAACCCGTATCTTGTTCGTTCTGGAAACACGTCTTCCTATTCCATCTTTTCTCGAATCTCCTTTAACGGAAGAAATAGAAGCTCGAGAAGGAATACCAAAACCTAGTTCACTCGCTGAGTCTCTTTGCATCCATGGCTGAATGGTTAAAGCGCCCAACCTATACCAACCTAATAAAGAGGCAAATTCGTAGGTTCGATTCCTGCTGGATGCACTTGGAAGGTTCAGTTCAATTGCTGCTCACGAAATTGATACATATAGCAGGCCCTTATAGCTTATGGGGCACTTCACTCGCTCAACACTCGTTCAAAACATCCACTCGTTCTTCA